TCTATATTGGGTCTACTAGAACTTACTTCCTCATCTAGAGACACACAAAACAACCCAACTAACTCTTTGTGCTAGAATCAGAGGAATAGATGCTATGTTCACTGATCTAACATGGCAGAGTCAAACTTTTACTTTCTGAAAATCAGAGCTATGTGTGCACATCTCTAGGCCTTTATTTTGCTCTCTTAACACATTCTCTCCAAGATACTCTGAGTGATGGAAAAAAACCCATCATTTAAGAAATATGTGCATTTTCCCTTTTAAATAATCTGTCACTAGAGTCATGTTTTTTCATAATCCTTTTAAAAATCTGTTTCTCTAAAATATTATTTATCTTCTTACATACCATAAAATCAATGGTCATCTGGTCATTTTCTCCCAAAGGGTCATTACTTCTTACTTTCAATAAATTCTACCTAAGTATGTATGTGTAGTGTGTGTAATATTTTATTTCTCAAACTCTCAGGTCATTGGGAATGCTGAAGAAAGTTCACAACATGGTGTATTATCTCCATCTAGAGGTCATTCTAACTATATGGGATTTGACAAGAACACTGTATTTTTCTTTGCATTGATAGTGAACATGTCCTTAATAATTGACTACCTGCTATTTCAGCAACTACTAACATTGGTTTCCCTGCAGTATTTTTGATTCAGCACCAATGCTATTTCTTCTGTGGGAAAGCAGAGACAGGATACTGTCACAGAAAAAAGACTGAGCAGATAACAAATGCAAAACCTGAGTTCTAGTATCTGTTTCTGCACTTATTGTGCGGCCCTGATTATTAATCAACACACACATACACACACACACACACACCCATACACACACACACACACACACAGCCTTGCTTATGCCATCTATAAAATGAAAACAGGGTGTTCTATGAATCACATGCTATAAAACATGTGGAAATAATTTGCAAACAGTAGAGCACAACAAATATGTAAGACATTACTTATAATTAAGGTCAGGCCTATTTAGCCAACAAATTGCAAATCGATTGGTGACTTTATTCTCTTGATTCCAGAAGTATTTTTGGCCAGCACAACAGAAACAGCAGAATCTTATAGAAAGCTTGTGCAGCCTTAAAGGAACAAAGCAATTTCATTTGGGAAAAGAAGAAGACAAAACCAAGTCTTTAAAATTATATGTATTTTTTTCAATCATTCCCCTATATTAACACTTTATAAAAATCATCCTTAAAAATTACATCTTTTGTTTCAAACTGAAGACTTATAAAACTATCATACAATGCTGTAAACCATGGGTCTGCAAACTTTTGCTGTAGGGCCATACAGTAAACATTTTAGCTTTGGGGCCAGACAGTTACTTTTGCAACTACTCAACTCTGCTGATGTGTGTGAATGCAGGAGTGTGGCTATGCTCCAATAAAATGTTATTTACAACAACAGGCCGGCAAATTTGGTCTGATAGTCACAGTTTGCCATTAATGCTGAGTGAATGAGAAAATGTTTCATTAACATTCGAACAAATTAATTCAGTCTTACATATTAAAAAGAGCCAGCAGAATGAGATCTTATCTCAGCATTTTATTACAGTTAGTTATGAAATCAGTTCACCTAAACTTCACCCATTGTTTCTCAAGTCAAAGTTGAAACTTCTCACCTTAAACCTCTACTACCTCATTGAATGAGAACATTTGCATTCAGTAGGATACAATGCATTCTAAGAATTAAGATTAAATTGACATTTAAATTTATTAAATTTAAGTTAAATAATTAGATTTTAATATTTTTAAAATAAAAAGTTGATACTGAATAAGAAATGTGAAACTCAATTGGATCATTACTCTGTGTGTGTTTTGATAAGGTTTAATCTTGGGCTTAAATCCTATGGTTATAAACCAGGCATTTAGTTCACAACAAAAAAGTGAAAAAAGACGAAAAACGAGAAGTGGCCAGATGAGTGGAAGACAGACTGGGTAACCTACTAAGGGAGAGTTCAGCATAATCTCTCCTCACAAAGCAAATTTCAAGGAGCTCATAAAGCCCTCAAGAAGATTCTATTGCTCCTCTGTGAATATTTGGAAATTCACAAATCTCAAATTGAGGACTGACCCCAAATGCACTTTTTTTTTTTTTTGAGTCAGATTCTCACTCAGTCACCCAGGCTGGAGTGCAGAGGCACGCTCACGGCCACCACAGCTTCGACCTCTTGGGCTCAGACGATCCTTCTGCCTCAGCCTTCCAAGTAACTGGAACCACAGGCATGCACCACCATGCCTGGCTAACTTTTTGATTTACTGTAGAGATGAAGTCTCGTTGTGTTGCTCAGCTGGTCTTCGAATCCCTGAGCTCAGGAAATTCTTTGGCCTCTGCCTCCCAAAGTGCTGGGATTACAGGCTTGAGTCACAGCGCCCTGCCAGCAAATGCACATTTTTTTTTTTTTTTCGAGTTGGAGTCTCACTCTGTTGCCCAGACTGGAGTGCAGTGGCCGCTCCTAGCCACCGCAGCCTCGCCTGCTGGGCTCCAGCGATCCTTCCGCCTCAGCCTTCCGAGTAGCCGGAATTACAGGCGCACACTACCACGCCCGGCTGATTTTTTGATTTATTGTAGAGATGAGGTCTCACTGCCCAGGCGGGG